GTCCCTTCCACCTTCCAGTTCAAAAGTTTGATTTCTTTAAAGACCTCATGGAGGGGAGGGGAGAGCTCAGTGGTAGAGTGCATGCCTAGCATGCACAAGGTCCTATAAATAAATAAAAACCTAATTACCCGCCCCCCGCACCCCGCAAAATGGGCTTCTTTAAATATCTCACAGAACAGGAATCCCGCAGCATTCGTCTTCCTGTGACTGGCTTATTTCACATAGTGCAATATCCTCAACCCTTGATTTCCTTGATAATTATTTTTACAATCTTAGCCAACGTGGTGGCTGTGCGGTGGCACCGCCATTGTGACTTTAGTCTGCATTTCCTTGACAGTTACTGAAGTTGAACCCCTTTCTGATAATAATGGGTCATTTGAATATCTCCTTTTTTTAGGGGTGGGGTGGGAGAGATAATTAGGTTTTATTTATTTTATTTAGTTATTTAAAAAAAATTTGGGGGGGAGTAATTAGGCTTTTATTTATTTATTTTTAGAGGAGGTGCTGGGGACTGAACCCAGGACCCTGTGCACGCTAAGCACACACTCTACTACTGAGCTACACCCTCCCCCTGACTGTCTTCTCTTTCTATTGATTTGTCTGCCTTTTTTTTACTGATTGTGGAAGATCTTTATATAGTCTTTTTGTTTGTTTGTTTTTTGTTTTTGTTTTTGGGGTTTTTTAAGGGAGGTAATTAGGTTTATTCATTTACTTTTTTAATGCGGATACTGGGGATTGAACGCAAGACCTCAGGCATGCTAGGCGTGCACTCTACCACTGAGCTATACCCTCCCTCTTTGATCTTTATTTTCTATATACTCTGGGTGCCCTTTGTTAGATATAGATCTTGGGCAATACCTTCTCCATCTAGAGAGTTGCATTTAAATTTACTCTTTAAAAATGATACATGGCTTGCTCTCCCCCCACAAGAAAAAAAAAAGAAAGAAAAACAAACAATAAAATAGTACATGTTCTTAAAAGTAGTCATACAAAATAGAAGTATGCTATAGAGCCAAAAGCTGACATCTCCCTCCAATCCGAAGTAAACTTAACATATAACAAAGTGCTTAACAACACCCATGGTGCAATTTTCCCACTTAACAATGTACCTAATGGATATTATGTCCATTTTTCAGAGGAGAAAACTGAGGCACAGAGAGGTGAGGTGACTTGCCTGATGGAACACCCTCAGCGTTACCCGAGTCTGGATTTGAACCAGGGACTCTCTAACTGTGACCTTCAGCCCCTCCGAGGAACTTCAGGTTTCCACTTACAAGCTTTGGTTCAGAGGGCAGTCACATCTTCAAGAATCAGTGCCTGACATACATTATCCTCAGAGGTGCGTTTTCTGGGCTCCAGCCAGCTCCTGGGGGTGGGGGTGGGGGTGGGGGCGGGGTCGTCACTTCCTGATCTGGACCTCTGAGTACTCGGTGGTCTCCTGGTGCTGAAAGTTGTGCGACCTCCACCCCTGGAAATCGAGGTTGGCGTAACAGAGCTCCTGATCCTTCTCTGACGTGGCGACGGCCGGAGCTGGGGTCCAGTGGTCTGAGGGGCTCTCTGACCAGGATTTATTTAGGTGACCCTGAATGGGAGGAGAGCAGGGCTTCAGAGGTGGTCTTTGAGGTCTGGGGAAGGGAGCTTGGGGCTTGGAGGCGGGGGGCACTTATTCACTTATCTGTTTCACTTATCCGTATCACTCATTCATTCATTCATTCATTCGTACCTTTAACACATTTTAATCATAACAGTCTATTCTGCTTCTTATTACACATCTCACTGAACCCTTTTAACCTCCCTCTGTGGACGGTACTAATGTTATCCCCGTTTTACAGGTAGGAAAACAGCCTGAGTGAGCCAGGTCAGGTGACTCCTCAGCAGACAAGATCCCTGACCTTGGAGAGTGTATCAGGACAAGGACACAGTAAGAAACTTTCAGGCCCTGCCTGGATCCGTAAGGATTCTGGTACCAATTACAACGTGGAGGAGGGATGGGGGGAGATTTGCACACCAACAAGCATGTCGGCAACCCTAGCTGAGCGTCCTACAATTCAACTTAATTCTGACACTGGCTACCCAGAGATAGCACCAGATTTCACAGGTTTAAGGGTTGGGTCCTACAACTGCCCACCCCCCAACTTCAGACGCCAATCGCAAGCCCCAGGTTGTCACCCGTGCTTCTGACACAGCAGCTGTAGATCAGAGGGTCCCACGACCCCACTCCTCAAGTTCCTGTAATTTGCTCGAGCCACTCACAGAACTCAGAGAAACACTGTATTTACTAGATTACCTTTTATAAATGGATATAACCCAGGGACAGCCGATGGAAGAGATGCACAGGGCAGAGTATGGGGAAAGGGTGCCGTTTCCATGCTGTCTCCAATTGCTTCACTCTCTCCAAATCTCCACTTACTCACTGACCAGGAAGCTCTCCGAACCCCATCTTTTTGGGGCTTTATGGAGGCTTCATTCCATAGATATGGCTGATTAGATCATCGGCGATTAAACTCACCCTCCAGCTCCTCTCCCACCCCAGAAGGTTGGGTGCTGGGACTGAAAATTCCAACCCTCCCATCACATGGTTCGATCTCCTGGCAGCCAGTTCCCATCCTTAGGTGCTTTCTAAAAGTCACCCCATTAATATCTTACTAGACACCTTTATCATTCTCATCACAGGAAATTCCAAGGGTTCTAGGAGCCCTGTGCCAGCAATGGGGATGAAGACCAAATGTCTATTTCTTATCATAAGTTACAATATCATAGTATATAGTAAGCGCATTTTGTGGGATGGGACAGGAAGCTGGCTGGAGAACTTGGCAGGGGACAGATCCCAGAACACCAGGCTGAAGGATCTGGCCTTGATTGTCTAGGCCTGTGCTGCCTAATGCGGTAGCCCCAGCCACATGCAGCTGTCGGTCATGCGAAATGTGTGAATCAGAATGGAGAGGTGCTGTGTATGAGTGTAAACTAAATGCTGGATTTCAAAAATAATTTTTTTAATTAAAAAAAATAGAGGGGAAGGCATAGCTCAGGTGGTAGAGCTCATGCTTAGCATGCACAAGGTCCTGGGTTCAATCCCCAGTATTTCCATTAATAAATAAGTAAACCTAATTACCTCTCCCCGCCAAAAAAATCATATCAAGTTTTTTTTTAATTCATTAAAAAAATAGAAAAAAACCCACTGGATTTCCAAATCTTTGTATAAAGAATGAAAGAAGATTGCAAAGTATCTCATTAATAATTTGTATGTTTGTGTTGATTACTGATGGCATGATGTTGAAATGATAATATTTTGGATGTGCTGGGTTAGACAAAATATTACATTAAAACCGATCTCATGTTTCTTTCTACTGTTGCAACATGCCTAGGTTTTACATTACGTGTGTGGCTCACATCAGATTTCTGCTGGATCTAGACAGAGGGGAGCAAGCACAGGGGTGACTGAGTGACAGCTGTTTGGGGAATTTCTTGCCGAGAGCTTGTTCGGGGAGGAGAGATGGAACCAGTGACCCAAGAGAGAGACAGTGAGGGTTCAGCAGGGAAGGAGCCAAATGGAGATAAGCTTTGCTAAAAGGAAAATGGACAGGACTTGATTAATTCTGGGCTCAAGGAAGTGAAGGAGAAGATGACTGGGAAGAAGAACAAATTTGGATGGGGGAGGTGGGGAACTCACTTTTTGATGTGCTGCCTAAGCTGCTGTGGCCCATGTCTGGGTGGAGAAGTGTCCAGTCAAGACACTGGTGGGAAAGTTGCCCACATCACTTACCTGGGAGATGGGACTCAACACAGGATGGACTCCATCCCTGCTCAGCGTCTTCTCTGTTGATTTCTTCCTGTAGATCTTCACTCTGAGGAGGGAGACCAAGGCCCTTCAGCCTGGTGGGCTCACTGGAGGGAGCCTAGAAGGACCTGATTGCAGGCTGCCGTCCAGCTGCAGAGACCATGACCAGAACGCATGTACCACCCTCCCGGATGCTGGCACCAGACTGCACACATGGCCAAGATGTCAGGAGGCTAAATTCCTGATGCTGTTTCAATGATCTATATGCTCCTTCCTGCTTTCATCACCTCGCCAGTTTCCTCAGCTCTGGGCTTTGAGTTTTGAAGAAACTCTGAGTTCCTCCTTCCTCCCACAACCATACCACCACCTAGGAAGCCTTCTGCTAAACTGGGGCTGCCACTCACAGGAAGAAGACGAGGCAGAGGCAGAGAGCAAGCAGGGCTGTGACACCAGCTCCCCCGATGGCCCCTGGAACCACACCTGTCCTGGGTCCTGGTCTCCCTGCAGATAAGAGACCTGGGGTGACCTCCAATCCCCTTTAGCAGGCACCTGACCATCCAGCTGTCTGAAATCCATGACCCACGTGTGCGCCCACTCTATCCAGGACTCCGTCTTTTGTCCCCAGCCTTCTATAGGACTGCAGCTTCCTGCTCCCCCAGGCCCATCCTCAGCCTGAACTCTAGTACCCGAGGACCCTGAACTCTAGTACCCCTTTTGCCCAGAGTCAGACCCTTTTCTCTCCCTCTCAATGTCTTCTAGGACCCAGCCTGGTGTGTCCCCCTTCCCTGGGCCACAGCAGCTTAGCCAGCACATCAAAAAATGAGCTCCCCATCTCCCCCAACCAAATTTGTTCTTCCTCCCAGTCATCTTTTCCTTCAATTCCTCGAGCCCAGAATTAACCAGGTCCTGTCCATTCTCCTTTTAGCACAGCCCTTCATAGTCCCCAGACCTGGCAGCAGCAGGATCCTCACACTCTGTTTCCCGTGAGCATTTTGGGCCTCGCAGCTGAGCCTGAGGTTGGCGCTGAGCCCCTCACTGAGGCTCAGGGAGCTGTTGGTCCAGGGCTCAGAGGAGCTGGAGGTGACCTTGAAGGAGGCGTTGCTGAGGTTCTCCTCCAGCAGCCCCTCCCCCAGCCGCCAGCGCAGGGAGCAGGGCCTCTCAGATCGAGCAGAGCAGCTGCAGTGCAGGCCCTCGTCCTCCCAGGAGCAGGAGGGACCGAACAGTTGTGGGGTTTCTGCGGGGAGATAGGGGAGGGATCAGAGAAGCCTCTCCCCTGTCTAGACCCCAGGCACCCACCCCTCAGGTGCATTCCAACTCACTTTTCACAATGAGGCTCAGGGAGGCTTCCTTGGAGCCCAACAGGTGCCAAGCTCGACACACGTATTTCCCATGATCCCCCAGTTCCACCTGGGGAAGCTCCAGGACCCCAGGGTTCGAGGAATTTGAGGGGCTCAGGGTCAGGCTCCCCCGCTTCCAACTCATCACGGCAGGAGGGTTGCTATTGGCAACACAGTCCAGACGCAGAGGCTGGCCCTCCTGGACTGGAAGAGATGAACTGTTGCCCAGAGTTTCAGGTCCTGGCAAGGCAGAGAGAAAGCTAGTGTCTCTGTGTCTGTCTGTCTGTCTGTCTGTCTGTCAGTCTCTTCCTCAGAATGTAGATCCCTTTCTTCTCTTCCATTTCCTGATGGGCTAATACCACACCGATTTGTAGCATTTGTCAACTTCCTCTGTGTAAAAACTTCCATCTTGGCCAGTTAGAACTAACTGAACCCAGAACTGGGAAAAGTCAGACGCAATTGCATAGTTGCCTCTTGCCAACTGGTGACAGCCTCTCCAGTACGCCACTGACTGCAACTTTAAAATAGAATCACCCTTTATCAAAAGGCCATGATTAGGCTGGAAATAAATCCTTTCAACTAACACACAGCTGATTGCCTTAACATGAAAAGAGCTTCTTCAAATCATTAAGAAAAAGTCCCCAAAGAAACACAAATAGTTTTTAAATGTAATGAAAGATACTCAATCTATTCACAAAATGATAAATACAAGTTAAAATGACACTGAATTTACTCAGGGTACCAGCAAGGGTGAAAATGCTTAGCAGAGAAATGGGCAAATAGAAGGTGGGGGCTTAAATAGAACTACCTCCATGTAGCTCAATTCGGCAGTACCTACAGAAATCGCAAACATACCTTTTGATCCAGGACTTTCTTCCCTCTCAAAACTCATCTTCCAGACACACCCATTTGTCTCATTTGTCTTTGCAAAAGATTGGAAATGCCACAGTTTTCCACTAAGGGGGGACCCACTAAGTACTTTACTGTATACTTTACTTCTAATTGGGAGACCCATTGGGGAGGGAAATAGCTCAGTGGTAAAGCACATGCTTAGCATGCACGAGGTCCTGGGTTCAATCCCCAGTACCTCCATTTAAAACAAAACAAAACAAAACAAAACAAACCATCTAATTGGAAGACCATGGAGTCATCATTAAGAATAGAGGTTTCCTATTAGTGATACAGGAAAATCTCCGAGATAGACTAACTGTGAGGAAAAGGGGAGTCTAGTTTGTAGAAATGGACCAATGTGTGGACCAGCGTCACTTCCTTAGCTGTGACAAATGTGGCATGGTGATGGAAGATTTTAATGACGATGACAGCTGGGTGAGAGATCTGTGGAGCATGTCTGTACCATGTAAATATAAAATTACTCCACATGAAAAGTTAATTAAAAATAATAGTAAAGATGCAAGCCATATGTATAGTACTGTCTGCACATACGTGTGTGTTTTTAAATGTGTATGTGTAGGTTACGTTTGGAAGGATATCCAACAGTGGAGGTACTCAAGATGTTGAATACTATTTTATACATATTAAATTTTGCTAGGTACTGAACTGTGTCCCCCTCAAATTCATCTGTTGAAGCCCTAACCCCCAGTGTGATGGTATTTGCATGGGCCTTTGGGAGACAATGAGGGTTAAATGAGGCCATAATATTGGCACCTGGTGGTCTGAGGCCATCTCCAAGCCAGGAGGTGAGCCATCCCCAGGAACCCTGGCAGCCAGCACCTTGATCTTGGACTTCCCAGCCTCCAGAACTGGCAAGAATAAACTATTTTTTAAGCTGTCCAGTCTGTGGTATTTTGTAATGGTAGCCTGAGCAGGCTGTGACGCATTTTATGCTTACTATTTTAAACAGTAACATTAAAATAAGGGAAGAAAACGAAGAGAAGGTGGGGTCCAGATCCTAAGGGGAATGAGAACAGGACTGGGGACAAGGATAGAGCCCTGGCAGCCAGCAGAGCCACACACATTGGGCAAGGAAGAGGCCGTGCGGCTCCCCAGGAGAGCAGGGTCAGCGGGAGGGGGAGGCCAGCCTGTATGCTGATGAGTGAACGAGGGGGGACTTCCCTCTGCTGTCCCCACACCCGGCCTGAGCCTCGCTCCTATCCGAATTCTTAACCGCAGCTCTGCTCTGAAGGGCAGAGACAGACCTCACTCCCACCACACCCCTGGAGAAGAGAAGTTTCGCCCTACCTGTGCTGTCTTTCTGGAGCACGCTGATGGTCAGCTTCTGGGGTGGATCTGGACAGACAGACATAATTGTTCATATTTCAGTGGCAAGAGGGTGGGCCTTGGCCCTTTCCCCCCGAGAAACATTGCAAATAGGAAGAGGGCACAGAAGTGTCTCCTCTTTCCTTCCTCCCTGGTGCCAGCTCGCAGGATCCAGCAGCCAGTAGCCCAGTCTCTCCCCTTCCCTCCCCAACACCCACCGCCCTCAGGGACCCGGAGTCCCGGCCATGCACTCACAGGACACGCTGAGCCTGACGGTCCTCTCCACGCTCACGCCAGCTCCTGGGAAGGTCACTCGACACGTGAGGTTGGCGCCATGGTCCTGGGGCCCGGGGGAGAGGGTGAGCACTGAGGAATGGAGAGTCTTGGGGTCCAGGGAGGTTAAGGTGACACCAGTCCAGGAGAAGGTCGGGGGTGTCCCCCTCTCACAGGCCCAGGGCACCGCACAGGTGATGTTCCTGGGGTGGCCAGATTCTAGGGTTCCCCAGACCTGGATGTCAGGTGTCTGTGTCAGAGCTGGAAAGGAGGGAGACACAGACACACACCCTGGAGGAGGGGACCCCAAATGTGCCCCCAAGAGCAGTATCTGCCTCAGGCCAGCCCCAGTATCCTGTCCCCTGGGTCCCTCCCAGGATAAGAAGAGAGTGGATCCCCTCCTTGCCCTGCACTGGGGCCCTCAGGACCCCTGCACGTGTCCTCTCCTTGACCCCATCCTTACCCATCACATTCACGGAGAGCTGGTCATTTTTATAACTATATTTCATATAAGACGTTCCTTCCACCCTAAAGAAGTACGTCCCCGTGTCCCCTCTCTGTGCATCTCTGATGTCCAGGGAGCAGTCGTTATTCCGGGGGTCTCCAAGGAGGCGGAATCGGCCCCGGGTCTCCCTCAGCACCTCACGATATGGGTTGTTCGTGGCCACGGGAGCATCCTGGAGCACGTTGGCCCCTTCCCGGAACCAGTAGCCACGAACCGGACGAGAGCTGGCCCGGTAGCCCCAAGGACGGATGGAGCAGGGCACGCGGACACACAGGCCCTCCTGCACCGCCACGGACTCCTGCACTTCCAGCCGGTGTACCTCATACTGAGCCAGGGACCCTGCGGGGAATCCGGGGTGAGCCCAGCCCGCGCCCCGCCCGCACCTTCTCCCCGCGCCGCCTCCCCGCGCCCGCTCACCCGCCCACAGCAGGGGCAGCAGCCGCGGCAGCATCTCTGGGGTGAGAATCATGGGGCCCTGGTGTCATGGGACTGAGAGGAAACCCCAGCAGGAAGCCCAGGGCTGAAGTCAGACAGGTGACTGACCGCAAAAGAGGAACGAGGCATCCGCTCGCTGCCGGAGCTGCGTGGACCTTGGAGAATAACCCCTTCTACTTTCCAGATGAGGGCCTGCTGAGGGTCGCACGCAGCAAGCGCAGCCGAGTCGCCGCTCGCAGCTCCGTGTCCTCCCACAGGAAAGCAGGCCGGTGAGTCCCCGCTGGGTGTGGGACTCAGCAAGGGCCGGCCGGGGACACTCCAGGCGGGAAAGACGGGGATGGGTCCCGCAGGGGCGAAGGAGGCGGTGAATAATTACTGCATGAGCATGTCAAGGGCACACGAGTATCTACTCCTTTCAGGGGAGTAGAGTCCAAGGGGAGAATGTAACAGACATTGCCTCTGTCCCTGAGAACTTCTCCGAGGCCTGAGGGGTGGAGGAACCCCGGCTCCCGTTGGTACCGTGTTTGATGCTGGCAGCACAGGCAGGGGCTTGCAGGAAGCCCGATTGCTCCATGCAGCAAGAAGGCAAGTTCCCTCATATAAATGGCCAGAGTGGATGGGTGGGACCAGGACTGGAGGGGGTCATGAGGACATGATGCTACAGGTGGGCAGGAGGCTTACTGACCTGCTCACAGCCCCTTGCTCCAGGCATCCCTGGTGGTGGCTGCACACGCCAGGTCTGGGAGCCGGACACTTGGAGCAAGATGACAGCCTAGCACGACACTGGAAGCGCTGGGCTTTGGGGGCAGGTGGGCCTGGCTCTTCTCCCCTCTGAGTCTCAGTTTTCTCATCTGTCACTTGGGGAGATCACAATTTTCAACGCTCATGGAGGTGGGTGCTTTCTGCAGACTGGTGTGGCAGTCTCGTAGCTCTAGTGCCTGGCTCTGCCCATTCCTCAGGGGTCATTCTGAGTCCCTCCACCAGTGCGCAGCTTGATGGCTCTAGGCTGGAACCTGCTTCCCTGATGCTTGCTGTGCTGCCTTAGTCAGGGGCTTAACCACTCTGTGCAGGCTCCAGTGCCTATGCTCACAGAGTGTTGGGGGCTGAATTGCGTCGCCCTAACCTAACCCCCAGTACCTCTAAATGTGATTGTATTTGGAGACAGGACCTTTTAAGAGGTAATTAAGGTAAAATTGTTACTGAGGCTGGTGCCCCAGGATCATACCCCTACCCCTCCCTTAAATAGAAACAAATTACTCTTATCCAAGTTTCAGGAGGAAGCTTCCAGGAGAAAAAAACAAGAACCAGTTAGAACCAACTAGGCCCAAGATGGCAGAGGATTTGACTTCCAGTGGACCTTTGAGCCTCATTATACGCTCATTGTAATGCATTAGCGTGCTAAATGACACACCAGCGCCAAGACAGTTGACAGTTGCCATGACAACAACTGGTAAAGCCCACATAAGAACTGGAAAGGAAAATTACATCAGTTCTGGGTCCAAACCACACCTCTGGCCTCGGATAACTCATGAATATTCCTCCTACTCTTTGCAATTCCCTCCTTTTACTTCCACCCTCCTACATATTTGGTGTGTCCACCCAAATTGGGTTGAGGAGTTGATTTATGAACTTGGTTCCCACTTCTCCTTTCTTTGGCCGTTGGATAAAGCCTGTACTGTCCCTCTGTCATCATCAGTTTCATTACTGGCTGTGCACATCCGATCGGACAGGGGGTCTCGGCCTGGGCTAGGACCCTGGTGTGGGTTCAGTCAACCAGCGATCAACTAGGTAACAAAATGAGGTCACTGGGGTGAGCCCTAAGCCAATAGGGCCCACATCTTTGTAAGAAGAATGGGTGAGGACACAGACACACACCGGAGGGAAGACACAGGGAGCAGACAGCTGTCTGCAAGCCAAGGGGATGGGCCTCAGAAGGACCAGCCCCGCAGACGCCTTTATCTCAGATCTCTAACCTCCAGAGTCATGAGAAAATGAACTTCTGCTGTTTAAGCCACCCAGGCGGTGGTACTTCGTATGGCAGGCCTAGCAAATGAACAGATGGGGTCACCTCGAAGATCTGATGTGTTCGTACGAGTGAAATGCCCAGAGCGGCCTAGAGCGGCCCACGATGGACGCAGCCCACACAGAGGCCAGCCGTCAGCCTGCAGCTTGGGGCGGATCTGAGGACGGGAGGACAAAGGGGAAGGGAACGATGTGGTAACCTGAGGCAACCTCTGTTTCTCCTCCGCACACTGGCTCTGAGCTCCACTGGCTCTTACTCCACGGGCCACACTTCTGCTCGCCTCGCCAGGACATGTCGTGCTCCACAGGCCTCTGCTCAGGCCGGTCCCTCTGCTGGCTGAGCTGGTCACTGCTCCTGCACCCTGGGTGCCTGCCTGTCTCCCATCTGCTGAGCAGAGTGTCCTGGAGGGCTGGGCTGTGGTGAGGTGGCCAGGGGGCAGGGGGAGGGGGTAAGATTCAAGGAACAAGGAGCCGTGGGCTCTGGGGGTCACGGGCCAGCGTGGGAGGCCCAGGTACCTGTGTCATTCCTTTAACAGTTGTGCCCTGCCCCCTCCCCTCCTGTCTCACATCCAGGAATGAGCCTACCTGGCTGCCTTCCTTTTCTTGGTCAGGGTTCGGGAAATGGCGGGTCTGAGTGTCTGTCCTCGGTTGGGTGTGGGGACTGAGATGCCCCGCGTCTGTACTGTGCCTACAGCCCTGGGGCCCTAAGCCAACTCTCCATCTTCTTACCAGTCTCCAGAATTCTCCTTTGATTGTTCCTTGCACCATTCACGGGGTTTCAAGCTGTCAACAGAGGGCAGCCGGAGGGAACAATGAGCCAGTGCCATCTTGTCTGGACTGGAAGTCTAACCGTTCACCTTTAATGTATTCGACAGATGGGTTGACTCACATCACACAGCCTGACATTATCATAAACAGAAGTCGGACCCAACTGTTCCTTCGGGTGTCAGGCAGCGGGTGGGGGCACTACGCGTTTTTGCCACCATGCCAGAATCTTCCATTTGTTTCTGTCAGTGACACTTTATGAACTGAGGCGTCATGCTTTATCCCTGTCATGGTTTGGGTGCTGCTGATATATTGGGGGCTGTTTTTCTTTAAACTGATTTTTTAGGAAAATTAGAATGTTAGGGTTTTTAGGAGGAAGTTTACAAACTAATTCTGCTTCCCTCCACCTTCTCAACCTAGATGTAAAGTTTTGAGCTTTGAAGGATAAGAAGGCGTTAGCCAGGTGGTGACCTGGGGCAAAGGAGAGATGTAGATTCTCCAGGACAATGAGGAGTGCTTCCAGGAGGGCTACAGAGAGAATGGCTGGAGGGGTTGAGGGTTTTAGGATGTGGTGATGGAGAAGCAGACTGGATGAGACTAAGGATAACCTAGAACAGAGGTCAGAAAACTACAGCCCGGGGCAGCCAGCTTTTGTGAATACAATTGTGTTGGGACACAGCTGTATTAATTCATGTGCAAAGTGCCCCTGGCTGCTTCTGTACTGCAGAGTTGAATAGTTGCCACAAAGACCCTACTGCTTGAAAAGCCTAAATATTTACTATCTGGCTGTTTACCAAAAAAGTGTCTTGACCCCTGACCTATAGTGTCAACCCAAGAAGTTTGTAAATTACTCTTTTGGGTTAAGGAGACAGAGCAGTATTCTGGCTGCAGTCAGCTCTAAGCTTTAGAAGTTCTCTAAAGGTTAATATGTGATTTTGCCTATAGCAGGGCTAGTAGGAGGCAGGCAGGATGGAAAGGGAAGATTCAGGAATGGAGAGACGTGGTGCTGGAGGTCAGGTCAAGGAAGGGATCCACGGAAGGGCTCTGAGTAAAGAGTTGACAGACATGTGGCTGATGTGGTGTCCAGGGCAGGACATACCTAACCTCTGGGTGAAATGTGAGGACAAGAAAATGTTGCCCGCCTTTTCAGAAAACAGAGGATGCTGCCGTCAGCCACGGCAGCCTCTCCCAAACGTGAGCCCTTTGGCGAATTCAGGCTGGAGAAAAACAGGACACCACTCTAGAGAGTTAAGGTGTGCATCTAAGGAACGATTTCAGTGAGCCCAGATATTTGCATCTTCCCATACATAGAAAAGCACTAGAATCAATTCCTTGAGATGTCTGATTTTTGTGATGAACAGTAATCTTTTGATCGACCACATGTTTGTTTTTTTCAGCAAAAGCTCCTGTACAGCCTGGCTCCTCCCTTACCTCTGGAGCAGTTCCTCAGAGCTAGCGGAGAGGCTGTCTCCCAGGCTGTGTCCTCAGTGAGGTCCCTGAATCAAACATAACTCACAATTTTTAGGTTGTGCTTTTTTTTTCAGTTGACAAAGGTCACAACATACCAGGCCTTCTGCTGTGTGTTTCTCATACATACTTTTATTTAATCCTCGCAGAAACCCTGTAAGGCTGGACTTCTCACACCTACTCCACAAAGCAGGAGACCGAGGCAGGGGAGGTAATGTGGCTCACCTGATGTCATGCCCATAGTAAATGAAAGAGCGTGCGTTGATCCCAGGTCGCTCTGATTGCAAAGTCTAAGATAGTTCCCACATAGCCGGAAGCTCACAAACTCTTGGAGTTGGCCTATGGGGATGTGACGTCTCCAGGAATCAACCCTTGGGTCCCCTTTCCTGCAGGGGATGTGGACGCTCTGGCCGAGGCTGATGCTCCCTCACTGGGTTCTGATCTCTGCATAGTCCGTGTAGGTGCCCTCCTGAGGAGTCATCCCGGAAAGGCGAGGGAGGCGTATTGCAGCTCCTGCTCCATCCTCAAGGTGGGGGCAGTCCCTGTGGAGCTCGTGGGCTCATCAGGACCCTCCACCTTGGACTCCTGCTGGAGACCCTGGGTGGAGAGCAGAGAAAGGGGTCCGATCAAGGAAGTTGTAGGGGGAGAGGGCAGAAAGGGTCCATGAAGTGAATTTGACTCTGGAACAGAACATTTATTCATTCTTCCTTTTTTTTTAACCAAACATTTCTCAAGTTTGCATATATTCAGTCATCCAGCAAATAGAACACAGTAGGTTGTTTTCCAGTTCCACTGAACACGCACACAGACCTATGCAGAAAATACTATTACATTACGGAGAGAGAAACTAAACCTCAGAGAAGTTAGGTGTTTCCCGAGGTCGCGTGTCTATTGATCACAAACTCCACTCCTGGACACTCTGACGTCTCCTAAGTGCCCAGCACTAGATACACAGGAGGGCGCTGATGACAAGCTCCTCCCCACCAAGCAGCTCTCCCACGGCAGCTGGGTGTCCTACAACTTAACTCAATTCTGACACTACCTGCCTGGAGGAAGTGTGAGGTCCCACGGGTTAAGGGCACTGTCCCATGAGACTGCCCTCTCCCTCCAAGTCCAGGTTGTCACCTGTGTTTATGATCAACTGGCTATACATCAGAGGTTCCTAGGACCTCTTCCTTGGGTTAAATGAGTTTGCTAGAGTGGCTCACAAAACGCAGAAAAAGAGTTTGCTTACTGTGTTTTGGCTTATTATAAAACGATACGATGAAGGATGCAGATGAACATCCAGATGGAAGAGATGCGTGCGGCAAGGCGTGTGGGAAGGAGCAAGGAGCTTTTATGTTCTCTCTGAGTGCACCATATTCCCAGCTCCTTTGCCAACCCAGAAGCTCTCTACACACCATACTTTGGGGATTTTTATGGAGACTTCATCACACAGGCATGTATACTGATTAACTCCATTTCTAGCCCCTCTCCCCTTTCTGGGGAGTGGGAAATGGGGCTGAAGATTTCAAGTTTCTAATCTCAGCTCGGTCCTTCTGATGACCAGCCTTGATCCAGGAGCCTAGTCGCCTCATTAAAACAAAAGACGGTGGTCTCACCCGGGAAGTTCCATGGGATTTAGGAGTACAACCATCTTCTGCTGCAGTTATATTTCTTGGCTCTAGGTTTACTGCAACATTTCTCAAAAAAGTCTTTCCACTCCATCTCCTCACGCTCTCTCTTGAACTCACTCCAATCAAGATAACTGCCTCCATCAGGTTACCAGATCTTTTGTCAAGATCAGCTATGATAGCACATATGGTTGTTTCTCAGACCTTACCTTACTCAGCATTTAAAACAAATGAGCTCTCTCTCCTTGAAGCTCCATCTCCCCTTGACTACCAGGACCCCACCCTACATTCTCCTGGTCATTTATTCTTCCTCAGTGGTTGTCTTGCTATTTCAACCTTATCTTCTTGACTCTAAATGATGGAGGGTCACAGACTCTGTCTGTGGACCCTTCCTCTTCTTTGTGATTTCATCTACTATCAGACTTCGGTGTAGAGGATCCCTTGAACCTCTGTGCATCCCACCCGGATTCCCCTCCTGTGTCCAGAGTCTTGCCGCCTGCTTGTCATCTACACTTGATGTCTCAGAGGCAGCTCAAACTCACAGTAACCAAGATACAAGTTTGATTCCCTTCTTGCAGGTATACTCCTCCTTCAGAGACAGCAATTTTAGGAATTGGAGATTCAATTCTTCATGTTGTTCAGGGCAACCACACTGGAGTCATCTTTGGCGTCTAAGGACATCTAAGGACATTTATAGACATTTATGGATGTCTATGGACATCTAAGGACATCTATGGATATCTTGGGATATTTATAGACATTTAAGGGTATCCAAGGACATCTAAGGACACCTGTGGTGTCATCTTGCACATCTATGGCTCCTATGAGGTAGAGGCAGGGAGCTCTCTTTGCTCACACCCCACATGTACTCTGCCACTCCATTAGTATATCCTGTTGGCTTTACCTTCAAAATGTGTCCACAACCCAACCTGTTCACATCAGAATCATTATTCTACCCTAGACTAAGTCTGTCTCATGGACTAAGCTGTGTCTGCCCCAAATTCATATGTTGAAGCTCTAACCTCCAACGTGACTGTGTCTGGAGATAGGACCTTTAAAGAGGTAAGTCATTAAGTTTAAACGAGGCCATTAGAACAGGACCCCAAATGACCGACATCCTTATGAGAAGAGGAAGAGGCATCAGGGACGCACAGCACGCAGTAAAGACCATGTGGGGACACAGCAAGAAAGTGCCATCTGCAAGGAACCGAGAGAGGTGTCAGGGGAGACCAGCCTTGCTGCCACCTTGACCTTGGACTTCCAGCCTCCTGAACTGTGAGCAAATTTATTTCCGTGGTTTAAGCCTCCCAGTCCGTGGTATCCTGTTATGGCAGCCCTGGCAGACTACTCCATGCTGCTCCATCCCTTGCCTGGGTTATTTGAGCGTCTTCCTTACCTAGGCTCCTTTCTTCTACCCCATCCCACTACAGACTTTCTCAACACAGCAGTCAGTGTGATCACATTTAAAACGAGGGTCAGTGCATCACTCGTCAAGTATTAGAATATATATAAAATATATATTATATATTATATATATATATATTCTGGTCTCTGCCCTCAGTTCCTGGAACGGAGGCCTTAAAACTCTTGTAATTTCCCAAGTGACAGGAGCACTGGGAGCATCATCTGTCTAATGTTGGTTCCTCACACAGAGATCCTAAATCCTGCGGAATTTCCTGGATGATAGGAGTGTCTTTCGTTCTAATGAGGCAACCCTAGGTTGGTTCCAAAATGGCTCTTGGATGGGACAGAGAAAGCCATGACTAGGAGCCTGGAATCCCCTATGGTCCAGAAAAGGAAGAGGGACTGGAAATTGAGTTATACATCAATCATGGAGTTAATCATGATGAAGCCTTAATAAAAGTCCCAATAGTATGGGGTTCGAGAAGGTTCTGGGATGGTGACCAAGTGGAGGTCCTGGGAGGGTGATGTGCCTGGAAGGGGAGTTGGAAACCCTGCACCCCGTCCCACATACTTTGCCCTGTGTATCTCTTCATCTGGCTTTTCATGCATTCCTGAGCTATATCGTTTCATAATAAACTAGTAATCTAATAAGTAAATGGTTTTCCTGCCTTAAAGGTCCCCCAGGTTGTTTGGCAGTGTGGAGAAGTCGTGCATTTCAGACTTGGGCATGAGGGGTTAATGGTCTCTGATGGAGGTAAGGCTGATGTGCTGGGGAGGAGGGGTGGGAGGGCTGAAGCAGGATGCAGATGAAGAGGAGATCTCAGCTCAGAGGGGGTGTTTGTATTAAACTGTATTTAGAAGAAGCACAGACATGCTTTGCCATGTCTCAGTACAGGAAGGGGTGGGGGGGACTGGGGTGGGACAGGGGTAGGTCTCTGGTTGGGAGTCAGGGACGAGAGTAGCATCAGGGAGACAGAGGACGCAGCAGGAGCAGGATGTTTAGCGTTGTATTAACCATGTGTTTCTGATGTTTTGACATCTGGGCTTGCTAATTCTAGAGGGACTGCCCCTGCCAGGGCTGGTCAATGTCTACAGATTCTAAGGGATCTGCTTGCAAGCCTGCCCTTGATGTTGCAAACCCATCAGCCCAAAGCTCACGACCCCCGCCACTTCCTTTATCCGACTCTTACATGCTGGACCGTCATCCTCCTGCTCTCATCACTTCAGGGTCAGGTACCAGACAACTAGAGACAGCCCCTACACCCCAGAGCGTGCCACAGTTATTCACAGACAACTCCAAACCTGCTTACCCCTCCTCGCCTGTTCCTTTCTGCATAAACCACAATAAAATCTCTTGCTCAGGTTTCTGCCTCGCTCCCTCTGCCTCCCGACGGACCCTGGTGCTGCCCCTCGTGGCCCTGTATGCTGTGGCGTGCCCCCTCCCCTGGGAACTGTAACAAGCTGTCTTTTCCATGGCAATCACCTGCCTCCTGATCTGCTGGCCTCCCATACCTGAGTAGTAATAAAATCGGCATTTTCAAACAGGCAGGAAGGTGGTGGGCTCATTTCTGGACACACTGAATAGAGCAGGACTCTGGGCCACCCTGGGAGATGTGCAGGGGGGGCTGCATGCCCGGATGCCCGTGTCACTCACCAGGGAAGCTGTCCCCACAGCAGGGTGGATGTCCTCCACACCCACTGCTGGCCTGGCTGCCTTCTTCCTGTAGGTCTTCACCCTGCTGGGAGACATCAGGGTCACTTTTTTGAGGCTGGAGTGAGGAGACTGAGGCAGGTCAAGGGTAGGGAGATCCCAGGAAATTTTATAAGAAGGCTTTATGACAAGCCCCACCCCCACCCCCTTCCCAATCCTGGATGTCTGAGACCAGGGCTGGCCTTTGCTCTGGGTCCTCACAACCCCTTTGGGTTCCTCTTCTCCACCTCTGGCCCACATCCAACCCAGCTCACATGAAGATGAAGCCAAGGCAGAGAGCAAGCAGCATGGTGACACTGGCTCCCCCGATGGCCCCCTGAATCACTCCTGCCCTGGTCCCCGATTCCCCTGCAGACAAGAGAGACTTGGGGAGAGGATATTGGGGGAAGAGGACCAACAGGGGCTTCTCATGTCCAATCACAGCACCCCACCTGACCGCATCATCTGAGCACAGAAAGTCCAGCTCTGGCCCGACCTGGAAGAGAACCCACCGCTATCAATGCCCCATGGCTGGGGAGCCCTTTCCTACCTGTGCCATCCCCCAGGCAGACGTTGACTGATGGATTCCGTGGAGCACCTACGATGGGGAGAGTGGATTTCCTTCTTCAGTTGGAGGCATGGCGTGAAATAAGTGTAGGCATCCCCCCAACCCACTCCACCCCAGAAGCCACAGATATGCAGGAGGGCCACGGCCGGTGTCCTTCAGTCGGGCCTCCAGGGCTAGAGCACCCAGCAACCCCAGCCTGGACCTCCTGGTCTGACACCCTCAGAACCCCAGCATCCTGCTTCGGCACTTACAGGTGACGTTGAGCTGGATGGTCCTTTCCATGATCACCCCAGTTGTGGGGAACATCACCTGACACGTGAGGTTGGTGCCGTGGTCCTGGGGCCGTGGGGTGAGGGTGAGCACTGGGGAGAGGAGGGTCCTGGGGCCCAGGGAGGTGAGGGCGGCTGATGTCCAGGAGAAGATGGGGGGTGTGCCCCGCTCACAGGCCCAGGGCACTGAGCAGGTCAGGCTCCTGGGGCGGCCAGCGGCCAGAGCCCCAGAAATGAGGATGTTGGGTGTGTGGGTCAGGGCTGCTGAGGAAAGGAGACAGGAGGATGTGGAGGAGGGTTAGATATGTGACCTCAAGAGAAACCTCAGGCTTTGGTCCAGCTCCTCCTTCTGAGCCCCCACCTGCTTTACCCCCAATGCCCTCTGAGGAGGGGCTCCCATCCCAGCTTTGCCAAGGACCCCCATGTTCTTCCCTTGTGGCTTCTCCTGGACCCCACTCCTTACCTGTCACATGCAAGGAGAGCCGGTTAGACATGTAACTCCATCTCAAACTTCCTCCTTCCACTCGAAAAAAGTATGAACCTTCGTCGCTCCTCCTGGCG